TGATCCACACAGAGAATTTGATTGCAGCCTCTAGGGTTTTCTCTTGTGCTAGCAAGAATAATGAAAACCTTAATGGACCTCAAACCCTAGTTATGTATTTATATAAACCCAAATAGGCTCGGCCCGGTCCGGCCCAATAATTAATTAATCCAATTAATTAAACCCGGTCCGTGAATTAATTAATCCAATTAATTAATTCGAAAATATAAATAACAAATCCAATTAATTAATTTATCCAACGATTGTTAAATTAATCAATTGGCAATTTGCAATCTTCCAATTCTCTTTTGTGTGTGACCCATTAGGTTCCCGACCACGATGCCTAACGACGTGAAATATTATTTTGATCTAATCAAAATTGATAAATTAAAACCCCCCTTTTAATTTATCGTCAATTCACATTCGCCGTCCCTGATTGACATCTAGCAATGTGTCAGGGCAATACATGTGACGGGAAATGTCACGTGGTATGACAAAACCAAATTCGTTCGTTTACCGTGAAACTATAATCCCTTCGTCAATATGATCCGATCAATTACGAGATATGGAATTGTGTCAATCTCGATCATCGATCATATCTTTCACTCCACTATTAAGTCAATACAAATCGAAAACTCCTTTTCGACTTATGTGTACACCTTGGCCAAGGATTTGATCATTGACTTAATTGAATGAAACGCAGATCATAATCTCCTACTATCTAAGAGTGACGAATCCTTTATTGATCAATCACAACCTTCATACGATTCTTGACGTACCCGAACGATGTCGTATTAGCGGCCCTTTTCAGAGCAACATCCAACACCGCCAAAGTATGACTGTCCTCATATAAGGTACCATGACGACCTCAAGTTAAAGGACCAATTTCACTACCGAACGTTAGAGATTAACCACCGACACTCAGATAGTTATCCATGTGGAATCTCTCGACGGGTCTCCAATGTTTTGTTCTATAACAAACATCCACGTGTTCATTTAAGTGTCACCACACTTTAACTTGTGAGATCAGCCACTTACTTCACAAGTAAGAAATGCCACACGTGATGGTCTATCCGTAATAACGATATCCGTATCTCGTTATTACTTACGACCACGGATGATTTAAGATTCAATCAGATGTAATTTGTATCTCACAATCACAACTCCTTGTGATTAATAAATTACAAATATTTGAATCTACGGACTCTATTATTTATTTAATTGTCTATTAATTAAATAATAGATCTGCCATTTAATTGCATCAATTATATATAAAAGTATTTATGTCCAAAGTCGATTGGACCTAGGGCATAATACTTACAATCCCTGCATACATTGAGGGTTTCAATTGGTGTATTTGGACGTGAGTATATGGAAAGTAATTAGTGTGTTTGGACGCAGGTATAGACCATTAAATTTTTTAGATCGAAAAAATTCATTTAAATTGTTTAGTCATTTTACAACTTATGAAGGTTATTTGTTTTTATTTATCTATTGTCCACGAAATATTTTGTAATTTGTTATTGACACACAAATATAAATGAATTATGATATTGTAAACCAAAATGTAACTAAATATCAAGTGTGATTAATCACAATTTTTTCATTATGTAAGATAGGAATAATATACAGCAGTGGATGTTAACTTTGAAGTTCGAATTACCGAAGCATATGGCAGATTTGCTATGCTTGAGAAACGAGAAAATGTACAAAGGATATAGTTAAGTGTGGTGCTGTGAATGTGTGTCAAAGTGTGCATTCACTGGATCTTGACATTTGGTACTCTCCTAGCTGTCTAATTAGCTTCTTGAGTCTTCCAAGAGCTAAAATCCTTCTTATGGCTTCTGATTATTCATTCAGTTTATCTAACGTTTGGCTTTTAAAATGTTTTCTTTCTGAAAATTGGGGTTCTCTTTGATCTCGAAAATCTCATTCGATACTTGAAATCTTCTATTCTCTTTCTGATATTTGGTGTTTTCTGAGTGAAAATATGTAAAGGATTTGAGGGTTCCTTTTCTGTATAGATCAGGTTAGAGTGATGGTGTGATTTTGTGGGTTCTTGGTGGACTTGTGTCCCGATCAGCTCATTCTTTAAAGATAAGTCTACTTAATGGCTTGATATTTTGTACTTTGGAACTGGTTGTAACATTGGTTGCCGTTTTTGACTTTATAGTGCAATCGAATACTATCCATTTTATATGAATGCTCAACAGAGGACTAGGTATTAGAAACAGTCACTAAACTTTTAGGGTTTTGATCGAAACAAATCATTCTATTCATTTTTTATTTCTATCATTTTTGTTTATATGCGCTTGAAAAGTTTTGAATAGGTACTTAGGGTGCATTTGATTTGAGTTTCTATTTTCTGCTTTAAATTTTGAATTCATTTTCTATTTTCTATTTTAAGTGATTATTTTAAGGTTATAGAAAAAGTGTTTGGTTTGTCATTTTCAAAAACTGTTTCTCAAAACAAAAAAATTAGTAAATGTGTTTGATTTAAAAACTTTAAAAATAGTTTTATGACATTTTAGAGGGGGGGGGGTATTTGTATTTGAGTAAGTTTTATGTGATTTTATTAATTATATTTTAATTTGAAAAATCTTTAAGCTAATTTTCCTTGTTTTGAGTTTTTTGAGAACACCAAAACGTCAAAAAATCATTTTGAGTTTTGTGTTATAAAATTTTCCTTGTTTTTAAAACCTCATTTTTGAAAATAACATACCAAACGCGTTTTGAGTGTTTTCAAAAATTGAAAACTGAAAATGACCTCAAAATGACAAATCAAACGCACTCTTATATTCTTGTTTTCTGAGTATTGAAATGGTATCAGAGCCTGGATTTGAGAATATTCATATTTGATCTTCAAAGATTAGCAAGATCTTTAACAGATCTCAAAGTTATGGACTGTGGATTATAAGAAATTGTAATGAAATTGAGTTCTCTGTGCTCGCTTGGTGAGATCTTTAAATTTTCTACAAAGCTTATTTCTAAAATTTAAGGTTTCTTATATTTTCCATTGATTTCTCTTACAATATATGCCTTGGAGACTAATTTTTGTCTAAAGGCTCATATGAGGCATTGGGAATCTAAGATAAATTCAGTACAAGTGTTTAACTGAAGGATCTTGGAGGAGGAAAACAATGAAATTTAGAATTTTAAATCTCTTTTTTAAGTTTCTTGAAATATTTATTCGCATGTCCTTTGTTTATGCATAGAGATCTTATTGAGTGAATATGAGTATTATTTGTAGGATTTTAATCACTTTATATGTTATTGCAATTTTCTATTGTTCTTGTTTTAAGGATTCCATTCTCATATACTGTGTATCTATGTGATCAAACTTGTCTGCATCTGTTTATTTGTAAGGTCCTCTACTAAGTTTAAATTGAGTTTGTATGATGGGAATGAGGATTTTAATATGTGGAGTCAAAAAATGAAAGTTGTGTTAATGCAAAATGGAAGAAATTGCATTATGTACTATTTTTCTTATATCTTTTTGAAAAAGTGATAACAATTGTTGGAGATAATCAATGCACAATTACTATATCATCCACTGAGGCTAAATATAGGTTAGTTGCTGCTATTGCTGCTGAGCTCAATTGGGTGTGCTTTATTTTGACAGAACTTGGTGTCACTCTTTCTCAATCCCCTATTATTTATTTCGACAATGTTGGGGCTACTTATTTGTGCTAAAATACAGTTTTTCATTAAAAACGAAACATGTTGCTATTGATTTTCATTTTATTCGTGATCAAGTTCAAATGCATTTTACGTGTTGCTCATATTTCTAGTTAAGACCAACTAGCAGATGTACTTACCAAACCACTCTTGCCGTTTCATTTTTTGTCTCTTCGAGCCAAGATTGGCCTCTTCAATCGAGCTCCATCTTGAGGGAGCATAATAGGGATAATTTTCTATTATTTGTAAACACTAGTGGACCTACTCATGGTCCTGCTTTAAAATTATTTTTTTCATTTTTTTTTTTTTTGGTTGTCAAAAATCAAATTTGGGCAATAACGGTAGTTGGGCTTTTTTGTTAAAATAGAGTTAGAGCAATGACCAAACAATTGAGAGAGTAAGAATTGAGATTATTTTTTCATTTGCGATATTTAATTTGAAAATTCTTTGAAAATTGTTATTCATCGTACATGTGAGATTATTTGGAATTCTTTGAAAATTGTTATTTATCATATATATGAGATTTGTGAATCTATGGCAATGATCTCCTGTATGTATTCATGTAATATACATAATTTTTGAATAACTTTTTAATAAATTTTAACGTTCCACTAACTCCAAATATTTGCGTCCGCCATTATTTGTAAATATAATCTTCTATTATAAGTGGTGATAATCCTCCATTATCGCTATAGATAGTTTTCTATTATATATTTTTGATAATCATTTATAACCTCTAGAGAAAATCTTCTATAATACTTGATTTGATCTTGTACCAAATGTGTGTGCATTTGAGATTTTTTTATTTCAATCTCATCTTGCAAAATGTATATATATACTCCATTACCGAAGAGAACTCTATCGCAAAAATTCTCCCTTCTCTATTATCTTATAAATAGTAGAATAGAAGTAGATTAGTTTACATAAATTACGGAAAGAATCACATCTCTACTATAATTTAGTCTAGTTGTATAAAATCTTCGTATACCCATGTGTACGTATTGCTACATCACCCAAAAAACCAAACGTTTTGACACGAAGATTTTTCCAATTTGTAAAAAATTATTCAAACTTAAGAAACTATCATAAGGACAAGTAAACTTTCTTAATGACTTTATGATGTAATCAATTACCTATAAGAACTCTTTTAAGTTTTAAACACGCAAAAATCTACGAGAAGGATAAGAAATGCAATTTTATCCGCGGCGCAAGGGTATTTAAGTCAAATCAAAATCTCGAAAACAAATAATGACCTGAATAAGGGTATTAAAGACATTTCACGGCACCTCGTTCCTACCGATTTCCTGCCATCTCTTTTTGCTCACCGACTATAAACATCTCTCCTACCTTCTTTATACGTTAAAAATCACTTCTTTTCGATTAAAGAATCTGTCATTTGATACCAAAAATTCATAGAAAAGGTTAATAATCAGAAATGTGTGGAGGAGCTATAATATCGGATTTGTTGTCGCCGAGCCGACCATCGCGCAAGCTGACGGCTGACTTGTTATGGGGAAGTGGAGCTGCCGCTGATCTGGCCAAAGGGAAGAGGAAGATTCCAGGAAACTACCACTCAAAACCGCTGAGATCTAAGCCGATTGTTGATATTGGCGATGATTTCGAGGCTGACTTTCAGGACTTTAAGGATTTCTCCGATGATGAAGTGGAGATCGATGTCAAACCCTTCGCCTTCTCTGCTTCCAATAACTCCGGCTTTCGAGGTAATGAGTTTTTATATACATAATTTTTTCATTTTAATAGGGTTTTGGGTTTCTTTAATTTACGTGACGTTTGCTGTTTGGTGTAAGTGAGTCTGTGATGATAGTGATATTGATTTTGATGGATGATAATTTGTTTTAATGCTTGATTATGATTCCTGTTTTGAAATCAATATTTGGATGTTAATATATTTTCAGTGAGAAAATAATTTTTTTCTGGTTGTGAATAATATTGATGGTTAGTTTTGTGTCATTATTGGACTAAAACTTGATTTCGATCGGTGTTAATGTGGATTTAAGAATGATTTTGTGAAAATATTGGGGTATGTCTGGTGCTAATTGTTTGATGAAAGGTATTTGTAAATGATTATTGATAATATCTAAGTTTCTGTTTATGTTTGTTGGATGAAAGGTATTTCTTATTCTGAAAAAAAAAATAAAAAAATAAAAATAAATAAAAATAAAAATATTGTACATACTAGATCTTAAAAATTATCTTCCTGCAAGAGAGATAAAATTGCCTTGATCTCCCAGATAGGTTTGTAATTTATTTATTTTTTAATTATTATCTGAATTGATAATTGAACGTGTCACAAGCTTAATTCAATTATACTGCGAAAAAATCTGGTCTTTTTCATTTTCTATCTCTTTGATGTTGTCGGAAAAAAAGAGTAAAGATGAATATAAATTTCAAATGCTAATCATGTAAATTTCAGGCATAAGAGTTACCATATTATCTTTCTCAGGTTGATAGGATTCATGATTCTTATGTTTTCACGACATTGTAAGTATTCGTGAATTTTGAAATTGTTCATATATGGTTTCTGAATGGGAGATCAAACTTCAATGGATCTAGGTAGAAGCATATTTTGAATCAAGAATGTTATTTTCTTAATTTGTTTTGTTTACATGCGGGGATAGATGAATCAATTGGGATCAGAAAAACTGAGATCTTTTGTCCAATTTACCTGCTTCCTGTGATTCATTGTTTATTCAGTAATCTATCTTTTGCAAGTATATGGTGTCTTAATCTCTTGCTTCGACTTAGTTCTATAACATTCTTCTTCTATCATTTCTCTTGAAGGTACAAAATCTGTAAAATCTGCTGATTCTGATGAGGATACTGAAAAGTCGTCGAAGAGAAAGAGGAAGAATCAGTACAGGGGGATCCGACAACGCCCATGGGGTAAATGGGCTGCTGAGATCCGAGACCCTAGAAAAGGTGTCCGAGTTTGGCTTGGAACTTTTAACACTGCTGAGGAAGCTGCAAGAGCCTATGATACTGAGGCTCGGAGGATCAGGGGCAACAAAGCAAAGGTAAATTTTCCTGAAGATGATCCAGCTTCTGCCTCAAAACGTTCAGGTAAGGTGAACCTTCGTGAAGGACTTCCTAAGGGAAGCTCAGTCCATGTTCAGCCCAGCATGAACCAGAATGTGACTTTCATGAACATGCTGGACAATGGCAACTACAATTCATTCAGCTTCCCTGAAGAGACACTGCCAACAAATCAGTATGGCAATGCTGATTTTTACCCTTCCGAGGGTGCCATGAAAGTACAAACACTTGCCCCTTCTGATGGCATTAATATTTACTTCGGCTCTGATCAAGAGAGCAACTCTTATGACTGCTCAGACTTCGGTTTGGGAGAAAATTTTGCTAAAAATCCAGAAATTTCATCTGTTCTCTCGGCTGTTGTTGAGGACAATCAAGCTCAATTTTTGGAGGATGCTAGCCCTGCAAAGAAACTGAAGTCAGATTCTGGAGATTTGTTGTCTGCTGTTGAAAACACTGAAGTCTCATCATTTGAGTCCCAAATGAAGCCCTTTCAGATGCCATATCTGGATAGCAATTGGGATGCTTCACTTGATGCATTCCTCAATGGAGATGCAACTCAAGATGGTGGGAACGAAATGGATCTTTGGTCATTTGATGATGTTCCAGCCATGTTGAGTGGGATTTACTGAGACCTGTGCTTTGCCCCTCTTGCTACTGTATATGAGGCCGCATGTTAGTTAATTTTGTCATTTTCGCAGCTCTTAATATCTTTATATAAAATCCAGTTTGCACTTGAAGCGTAACCGGTTACTGGTTCTTCTTAGGTGTGTTTGTTGATGATCGAGGTGGATGGATCTTCAAGCATGCTTTGGCTATAATGGTGCTGTAAAAGACTGGTTAAATAAGTAGTAAATAGGCTATTAGATTTAAATTATCTTTCGAGACTGCTAATTTTCGAAGATTTTATATTTTCTGTATGGATGTTCTGTGATAAAACTGAAGCTTATGTTATTCAGTTTGTTGTTTGCTTCACTATCGTTGTCTTTTTATCCGATACATGCTATTTCTCCTCCGGCATTATGACTAAAATACCAGTTTAACCATTATGAACAGTGTTACTGAGGCCACCATAATGAGAATCGGATCCTGGCTTTCCTTCTTTCTCAGCTTTCACTCGTACCAAATTTTGCATGCTGAACTGCCTCTTTTGTGATGTTCTTGCAGGTTTGAGCCTAGGAAGTTTTTAGTTATAAGAATGAAATCAAATTTTATTTTTGAATTACACATTTCAATGGATTTACGAGTATTATTTACTTATTCATTACACATTTATCTATTTATAAATTCTTCTCAAACTGTGCTTAAGATTCAATGTCGTCTTTTTGTGTCAACAAAAATGACAATGAAATGGCAAAAAGGCTCAACTAATAGGTAGGACTGGTCGGTGGAGGAGAGCTTTAGAAAGAATTGAAGGGTCAATTAACCATTCATTACACCATTGACTTGGCATTGTTTTAGCAATTAGCAATTTTCACGAGAGAGGATATGTTTATTTTTTGTGTAATGTAAGTGACATACATGTGGCTAATCTTCACATACATGTCACATAGGTTGACTAGGATAATGAGTTATTGCAAATAGTATTAATCTTATTTTTGTCCAAAATTTTGTAATAAAAATGGTCTGTTTTCACAATGATAGCACTTGCTTGTTTTTCACCTCTATTTGCCTAGTGTAGACAACATAAACAAGACTCATTTGGCTAAAAAATAAGTAGTAGAAACACTTACGATAGAGAGTTTAAGCCGTATAAGCACTTTCATGACTTGGTAGCGGATTTTAGACGTACTAACACTTGCCTAATAGAGAAGTTTTAGACAGTGTAAGCATTTGTGAGATTTGGTATTAAATTTTAGATAGAACCCATGAGCCACAAAAGTTTAGACGTCTAAAGAAGGCTTCTACGATTTAGTCAAGTATTTTAGGTTGACAAAATACTTGCCTAATTTGATAAAGACATTTAAGATTACTAGTCATAGTTGAAAGTCCGTTGCACGTTATTTTGAAATACTTTATAGGTGCTATAAAAATAATATTGTAAGATGTGAGAATATAAAAAATAATTAATACAAATTATTTTTGTGGAATGAGCTTTTGATTCAAATGAGAAGAAGTCAATTAGAATAATCTATCCATTTACCCTTTTGATTTAAACTGAACATCTAACAAATACCACCATTTCTTTATATTCACTTAATATGCATTGAATATATTAATTGAAATTATTTATTATAGTCATCTCCCCATTTACCTTCTCTGTATTTTAGCATTCATTAAATAATGAATCTCTCAAATATGATTAAATAAATTAAGTACACATTGAAAAATGAAAAGTAAGGTAATAAATGTGTCAAATATATATTCATCATATGATAATATGGTTTAAATGATTAATAAATTAAATACCAATTGAAAAACGATAAGTATAGAATTATTGAAATAATTAATTACATATTGAAAAATACATCAATGACTGGTAAAAAATTTAGACAGCATAAACATTTAGCCAATTTAGTAGAGAAGTTTAGATGGTATAAGCCCTTTCAGAATTTGGTAGAGAATTTTAGGTAGCATTAGCATGGACAACTGATTTGATAGAGAAGCCTATATGGTATAAGCAAATCCATGATTTGGTAGAGAAATTTTTAGGTGGTAACAGTACTTTGACAGAAAACTTTAAGATGTATAGATGGCATAGAATTTAGGTGGTGGTGCGCTATGTTGGATGGACATGGTCATGTGATAGGAATATGCCGACATTTGATTTTTCGAAAAAAAGTAGGAAATAGACACTTTGAAAATTTAAAATAATAAATTATAACTTTATTTTCTTACTCTACTATATAGGACAATACATACAGTGGTGAATTCAGGATGTTGAGTCAGCATGGTCGGTCATTGACCGTGGACTGCAATAAAATATTAAGAGTACGTTTGATGTCCTTTTTTTGCAAAAAAATGCATTTTAGAATAGTGATTTGATGGAGAACTTGTAGTTAAAAATAAGAAAAAATTTTGAATTTGCGTGAAATAATATTTTATTAGAAAATAAGAGAGAAAAATTTATTCTAAAATAAATGAGAATCAAACAAGGCTTAAAATTTAAATAAAACAATTATTTTGTTGAAGCTGAATATATATAATTATATTATAAGAATAAATTGTACTCACCAAATGACATTGTCGTTTTTTATAATTCAAAAGAAGAGCACGAATTTGAAATTTGAATTTTTACAATTGCATTAAAACCACTAAAATCTAACGTATACTATTTTATTTAGTATCACAACAACTCAACAAGTGTCCTAGTGGTTAATATTTCAATATTTCTAATGAAAGCTCTTAGGTTTGAATCGTCTCTTGTGCCTTCCTTATTATAACAATTTTTGCTAACTAAATATGTTGGTAGAATAAGTAGGTTGAAAAAAGTTTCGAACCTGGGACTTCAAAAATAGAGGTGCAAGCACTTACCAACTTGGCTAGAAGAAATGGCTATAATGAAGTTGACTTATCAGTAATATATCCTTAATCTCTATTCTCAACCTCTTTTGGGGTCAATTAAAGAGATGCATATAATGTGTTTGTGAAAATTTAAATATGAATATGAATTCAAACTTTGCTTTACATTATAATAAGTTACACTATGGAACACTTTATTTATCTTTGAATATGAAATAAGGTGCTAGAATTTGAAAATGACATGATGTGACATTTCTTTTTAGGAAAGTCGTACTATCTCATTTAAAATTTTTTTTTTTTTTTTTTTTTTTTTTGTTAAAAAAAAAAAAAAAAAAAAAAAAAAAAAAAAAGGAAAAAAACCAAAAAAAAAAAAAAAAAAAAAAAAAGCAAAAAGCCTCCCGACGTCGGCGGATCCAGCACGCGCGATTGCGGGTGCTCGCCAAGTGCTAGATCCGCCACTGAATACATATCATGTGAAGTAATGTTCCTAAAGTAACACTTGGACAGTATAATTTAAAGAGTACATAAAACATAGGACACAACATGATAAACCACGTGTCATGGAGTATGTGTGTCCCCCACGATGCTTAGTAGTAGTAGTTGTGCTTCATAGGCTGTGGGTAACACAAGAATTGAGAAGTACGATGACCATGAAAATCCGTTCACCTCCCTGTGCGAAAGATAGCCATAAGTAATGTCTCTACTCTTCTCTTATATCTCTCATGTTTCTTTAGTTTTACAATTCCATTGGTGATATAAGTTTTGCTTTTGTTTGGTTTCTATTGTTTTTAAAATATATTTTTCTCTCTTTTATTTTCAACTACACGTTCTTAAATAAAATAATATTACACGTAAACTCAAGACTTTAATATATTATTCAACTATACATTCTCCATCAACATATCATTCCAAAATGCAATTTCGAGACAAAAAATGGACTCAAACAGACTCTTTTTATAAATTTATAGCGTAGTATTGGAAATTAGAGTTTCATTTAAAATGATTGGAATTAGGGGTCCAGTCCAAAAGTTTAGTTAATTTTAATTTTCAATAAGTGTTATCAAAGTATCTTCAAGAGACCTTTATTTATAAAGAGCATTTTTAAATTTAGAAAGTCAAAACTTTTATGTACTCAAACAATGCTTTTTATTTTGACTATTCATTTTACTTCAATATTTATTAATTTTTCATCATGTTTTATTTAAAATAATTTTTATATGTCAATGGTCAATCAATTTAAGAGCCCGTTTGGCATGATATTTACATTTGCTTCCCGTAGAAGAGTTTTTGGAGGAATTTACTTTAATTTTTTCTTAGAAATTAATTTTTAAAAGAGTTTCCTATTCCAAAAGTGTTTTTAAAAGAAGTTGCATTAAATCAACATCCTCTAACTACCAAATGCACTTTCATAAAATTAGTGAAATGGGTATAAAAGTAGTTTTTGAATTTCAAAAGCCTCTTTTGACTTTTCAAAAATCATGCCAAATGGGCCATAAATGTGGTTCGAATAAATTAAGAAATGGTAAAATAACGCTAAACCCTACTTATGAACTTTACATTTCAAAACTAGGGTGATTAGGTTTAATCTTCTAAAATCAGGTGTTAATTATTTATTTTAAAATTAATAAAAATAAGTTAATTACACAATCCATATTTCAATTACACAGTTTTTCATATCACGTGTTTCTACATGTAATCACCATCATTCAACTCACGTCTATCTCTTTTTACAATAAACCGCCCCTCTCTCTCTCTCTCTCTTCAGTGCGGTGCAATGCAGAAACCACGTCACTCTCTTTCTATATCAAAAATATAGGAACTATGTATCTCTCTCTAATACGGTGAAGTAGCGTCTCCCTCCATTTCTCTACCGCTGCCAACCGTACAATAGATCTTCGTTTATCGAAGAAATATTCATTTTACATTTTAGTTCCAACCATAGTAGCGTTTGAAATGGCAAAAACTTGTAGTGTTGGTACGAAAGTAATGGAGAATGACAAAGGAAAGAAGAAATATGTTGGAGGAGATTCTTCTTCAATAAAGAGACTTAAAGTGTTGGCCTCTGGCGGGAAACCATGAAGAAGGTGAGCTCCGATTTTGTGACCTAATTTCTGAAATTTGTGACCTATTATTTATGTAGTTTGTGACCTGATTTGGGTATCCTGTGAATGAAATATTATTTTGTCACCTGTTTTAGGTATTTTGTAATTTGAAGGGTTTGTGACTTATTTTATTTACCGTGTGATCAACTACTATTTATTTTAATCGAATGTATTTTTTAAGGGGTGCTGGATTGTTTGTGAATGAAATAGGTGTTGTGATTTTCTACTCTGTGTTATGATTTTGAAAAATTTGTGACCAACTATTTATGATTTGAATATTTATGTGTTTGTTACAGTAAAATGTTTATGTGTTGAAGGTCACAATAATATTTTTGACATTATGATTGTGCAGGACTGAAAATATATAGTAAAACCAAGGAATTGGTTTTCTGGAAAGATCACCACAACATC